AGAGATACACAACATGCAAATTCGGTTCCAAAAGCTCCAATTTTTCTTCAAGAGTATGCCATTGATTTTATAGTATATCTCCGTACAAAGTTCCAGTACTCTACCATCAACAAAGACATTTCTGCCATGAAGGAGGCAAGGCTCACACGATTGAAGCGTATTGTACAAGGGGCCAATTCTCGTTCTTTGAAATCGTGAAGTAAAAATAAAAAATTCAAACTCTGTGCAAATTTTATTTTTTCACTTTATCTTTTAGTTTTACCATTTTAAGTCATTCTCGATCATTGAAGGCCTCTTCATAAACATCGAGCAAGAAATTATTTGGTAAATAACGGTGAGTAAAATATAATGATTGCGATTTAAGCAAGATATCCAACTTATATTTTTCACAACTACAAAACTATGTATTTAAAAATTTTTTTTAGTGCAAACTTTTGACAAATAAATTTGTTTTCAATTGGAGCCCGAATCGAAATTTTATGTGAAGTGATGAAAACTATTTTCACTTCACGCTTCATATTCAGCAGTAAGCGCTCCCTTCCTAATTTCACACTTCATTGTATTTTAACATTGTGTGTGATTAGAAGGAAGCGCTCTCTTGCTGCTCCCAAAAAAGCCCTTGGTGAGCGCTTCAACTAAAGCATTTAAAAAGCGATGCATACAAATTTTAGTTTTTACATTATATTTTTGTTTTAATAAAAGAATGGCGTTTTTGTAAACCATTTGATTTTTTTATCAAGTGTACTTACATATAACATGGTTTTTTTTTCTTTTCTATGTGGTAGACATACGAAAATACATACATACATACATACATGTTTGTACACAAATTAACTTTTTTTAAAAGAAAATATTTTATGTTACTACTCAAAATGATATTTATTTCTGAGCATTGTTAGAAATATACATTTTTTTTTTACTTTGCTTTTGTACTGCTCCATACTTGCTCCTTTGGGGAGCAGCTAATTTCAGTCCCGTTGGGTTTATTTCTTCAAGAGAATTTACATACAGCGCTGGCAAAGTACTTTTTCAACCAACAGAAATAATTAAAACAAATTCTTCAAATTTTTCTTAATAAATGAAAAACAATGAGGTTTAAGATCACCTACAATACAGGCGGTGGAAACGATAACATTTTAAAAAAGTTAACAGAACAGAACAGTTAATATTTATTAAAATTTCCGGTGGTAAGGCACTATGAAAAATCAAATAAATGATTAAATTTTTTCATGAATGTACATATGTAAATATCGTCGTTTAAAGCATGATAAAAATATAGTAAGGTAGAACCGCTGAGAGTCACTTT